GCTGGGTTACAGTTTCAGAGGTTTAGTCCACTATCACCATGGCTGGACATGGTGGCATACAGGAAAACATGGTGCTGGAGAAAGAGCTGAGAGTTCTACATCTTAACTTACAGGCAACAGGAAGTGTGATGTGTCACTGAGTGTAGCTTGAGCATAGGAGACCTCAAAGCCCACCTTCAATAAGGTCACACCTTTTTCAAAAAAGTCACGCCTCCTGAGAGTTTCTTTGGGAGACATTTTCTTTCAAACCACCACAATAAGTTAGAAGAAACTGATACATTGGTCAAAGAAAATGTTAAATCAAAAAAGTCCCTGACATAAAACATCCAGGAAATCTGGGAAATTGTGAAAAGACAAAACTAGGAATAGAAGAAGATTTCCAGCTCAAAGGCCCAGAAAATATCTTCAATAAAATCATAGAAGAAAATTTTCCTACCCTAAAGGAGAGATCCATAAAAGTACAAGAAGAGTCTGAGGCAGCAGTCTGAAGCAGTCACGCAGACAGTCTGAGGACTTAGTCTGAGGGGCAGTCTGAGGACAGGATCACCACTTTGTTCTGAGCATTGGTAGAGGCCATGACCACCCTTGGAACCAAGAAGTAGCACATATCAGTCCATGTAGGAACAAGATGATGCAGGAAGTCAAGGATTTTTTCTTAATGCCCAAAGCATCAGACAGTTACTGCACCCAAGAGATATAAATCCTGTATTTGTGCTTTAATCTAAGAAGGAAGGCTTCAATGCACATAGGGTTATCATACTAATGAAAGTATCATGAGAGAAGCTTCCTGAGATACAGAGTGTGACTTCACAGAGCAGACCAGAGAGCCTTCATCCAGCAACTGACAGAATCAGATGCAGAGATCTACAGCCAAACACCAGGTCGAACTCTGGGAATAAAGTCGAAGACAGGGAGTAAGGAGTATATGTGCAAGGGAGGTCAAGATCATGATGGAGAAATCTACAGAAACAGCTGAACCAAGTTCATAAAAACTCATGAACTCTAAACCTACATCTGTGGAGCCTCCATGGAACCAAACTAGGCCCTTCATATGTGGGAGAAGGTGGTGAAGCTTGGTCTATCTGTGAGGCACTTGGCAGTAGGACCGGAATCTCTCCCTGGTGCATGAGCTAGCTTATTGGAGCCCATTGCCTATGGTGGAGTACCATGCTCAGCCTTAATGTAGGGGGAGGGGCTTGATCCTTCCCCAACTTCATGTGCCTGTGCCAGACTTTGTTGACTTCCCATGGGAGCCCTTACTCATTGGGAGAAGTGGATAGGGATCGGCTGGAGGGGAGGAAATGGGGAATGGGGGGGGGGTAAAGAACTGTGGACGGAATGTAAAATTAAATTTTAAAAAAACAAATTAAAATTAAAAAAGAAAGTATCACAAAACTAGAAATGTGCCAATATGAATAACTAAAGTGGCCACAGAAATAAAGGACTTCTAACAAAAAAAATGATGTAGGATTTCCCTGTATATGCTGTGAATATGTTTTATTAACATTGGTTAGTAAAGAAGCTGTTTTGGCCTATGGTAGGTCAGAATATAGAAATGTTGGAAATCCAGACAGAGATAATGAAGGAAAGAAAGCGGAGTCAAAGAGACACCATATAGCCACCCAAGAAGCAATATGTGAGGTAACAAACTACGAGCCTCATGGTAAATATAAAATAATAGAAATGGGTTAATTTAAGATGTAGAGCTAGCTAGAAGTATGCCTGGGCCACTGGCCAACAGTGTTGTAATTAATATAGTTTTGTGTGATTATTCAGGTCTGGGTGACCAGGAAATGAAAGCACAGTCTCCATTTACAAAAAAAAGTACAAGAAGTTTACAGAATGCCAAATAGATTAGACCAGAAAAGTTCCCCCTTATATGTAATAATCAAAACATTAAACATACAGAACAAAGAAATAATATTAAAAGCTGCAATGGTAAAAAGCCAAGGAACATATGAAAGCTGACCCATTAGAAATACACCTGACTTACCAATAAATCCAGAAGGGCATGGACAGATGTCCTGCAGACTCTAAGAGACCACAGATGCCAGCTCAGACTGCTATACCCAGCAAAACTGTCAATCACCATGGATGGAGAAAACAAGATATTCCACGACAAAGTCAAATCTAGACAATATCTATTCACAAATCAAGTCCTACAGAAGGTAGTCCTATAGAAGGTATTCAGAGGAAAACTCCAACCCAAGGAGGTTAACTACACTCAAGAAAACACAAGAAATAATTTCACATCAGTAAAACCATAAGATGGGAAACACAAAGACACTCATACATTACCAACAACAACAAAATAACAGGAACATCATTGGCCATTAATATCTCTCAATAGCAATGGACTCAATTCCCTGATGAAAAAAATGCAGGCTAGCAGAATGGGTGCAAAAAGAGGATCTATCCTTTTGCTGCATACAAGAAGCACACCTCACCATCAAAGATTGACATTACCTCAAAGTAAAGGGTTAAAGAAAGATTTTTCAAGCAAATGGACTCAAGAAAAAAGCTGTATAGTCATTCTAATATATAACAAACTAGACTTCTAACCAAAATTAATCAAAAGAGATGAAGAAGGACACTTCATACTCATGAAAGAAAATTCACCAAGATTACTTCTCAATTCTGAACATTTGTGCCCCAAATGCAAGGGCACCTACATTTGTAAAAGAAATATTACTAAAGAGTAAATCACACACTGAACCCCCCACATTAATAGTGGGAGACTTTAAAACCCCACTCTCACCAATGGACAGGTCATCCAGACAGAAACTAAACAGAGAAATAATGGAACTAACAGACATTATGACTCATATTAACCTAACATATCTACAGAAAATTTCACCTAAACACAAAAAAAAATGTATTTTCTTCTCAGCACTTCAAAGATCCCTCTCCAAAATTGATCACATACGTGGTCATAAAGCAAGTCTTAACAGATACAAGAAACTTGAAATCACCCCAGTATCTAATCAGACAACCACAGATTAAAGCTGAACTTCAACAACAGAAACAACAAAAGCCTACAAACTCATGAAAACTGAACAACTCTCCACTGAATGACCACTGAGGCAAGGCAGAAATAAAGAATTAAAGATTTCCTAGGATTCAATGAAAATGACAACACAACATGCCCAAATTTATGGGACACAACGAAAGAGGACACAATGCTAAGAGAAAAGATCACAGCTCTGGGTGCCTTCATAAAAAAAATTAGAGCAATCTCATACGAACAACTTAATAGCACACCTGAAAGCTCTAGAACAAATACACCCAAGAGGAGTCAATAATAATCAAATAATCAAAGTAATAATCAAACTTGAGGGTAAATCAATAAAAATAGAAACAAAGAGAACAATGCAAGGATTAAATGTATTGTAAAATTAGTTGGTCCCTTGAGAAAATCAATAAGATAGACTGTAGTTGGATTTTTCTTTGGGCCACCAGCTCACAAATAATAACACAGAGACTTATTAATTATGAAAGCTTGGCCTTGGCTTAGGCTTGTTTTTAACTAGCTGTTATAACTTCAATTAGCCATTTTTAATAGTCTATATTCTGTCACATGCTGCCCAATCTGCTTCCTCCGTACCTCCTCACACCTAGATTCTGTCTCCTACTTCTCTCGCTGCCAGGAAGTCCGGTCTAGACCTCCTGCCTAGCTATTGGCCATTCAGCTTTTTATTATACCAACCACAGAAACATACCTTCACACAGTGTACAAATATCCTGTTGGAGGAGCCCACTTGTTGCTACCCAGCTGTTCAGACCGGGAATAATCACATGGAAACTATATTATTTAAATCACTGCATGGCCTATTAGCTCTAACTTCTTATTGGCTAACTCTTACATCTTAATTTAACCCATCTCCATTAATTTGTGCTTCACCACGGGGTTGTGGCCAACCAGCAAAGTTTCCACCTAAGTTCTACTTTGCTATAGGTCCAAAGCAGTTTCTTTATTCATTAATGGTAATCACAGCATACAAAGGGGATTCCCACATCAATATCCCACATTTCCTTCTTTTTGCCTAAATAAAAAGGAAAGGTTGTAACTCTAACACTGTAAAACTATATACAATAAGAACAATTATCAGATAAGAATTACATTTACAATGTCCAGTATATTTGTATTTGTCAAATTCAGAGAAAATATTCCATTATCTAATCTACTTTGATGAGTCAAAAGTTTTGTACCTATTTACTACTTTTTATCCTAATTTATATTACAAACCCTAGACTATCTTTTTAGACCTCAAAACATTTTCTAAGATAAACTATTGAGGTTTTTACATCTCTCAACCCTATATATTTTACACCACTTTTGTGAGTTTCTTTTCTGAATTTGGTAACAGGAAAAACTACAAACTCTAACTATCTTGTCTTCAACCCCATCACAGACCTGAGAAGGATAAAATATTACCTGATTAAACAGGGATTGCAGAGCAAGCAACTTCCAAAACTAAGAAATGCCAGAGATATCTGGCTGCGTGGACAGTCGCCCCAAGGTTCTTCTGCAATTTTGAGGCATTCATCTTCAGCCTACAGGCCTAGAATACCTGGCAGACTTTCCTGTGGAGCACCTAGTCACACAGCCAGCAACAGAGCAAGAAGGAAAAAAAGGAATATAGAATAGAAAAAGATAAAAGCCCTGAGACAAAAGGTAGACAAGATAATTTAAGTTGAGAAAAGTTGGTTAGAAACAAGTCAAGCTAAGTCTGTGCATTCAAAAGTAAGAATAAGTCTTGGTGTGTTTATTTGGGAGCTGGGTGGCAGGCCCCCCAAAGAGCAAAAAAAAATACAATGCCCCTTCATGATAAAAAAAAAAACCTTGGAGAGATTTATATATAATAAAGGGACATATAAAAATTTACTAAAGGCAATACAGCAAGCATATAGCCAACATCAAATCAAATGGAGAGACTTAAACATAATAAAGGCAATATAAGGTAAGCCAGTAGCCAACATCAAATTAAATGTCAAAACAATTCTTTTTTTTTAGATTCACTAAATTTATTTTAAAAATCATAAAACATTTCTTACAAAAGAGCATTACATTCTGCACACTGCTCTGAACAAATGCCAGGGACATGTGGACTATTACTTTCCTCCCTGTCCCACCCCCCCCCAATGTTACAGTGACCACAAAGCAAGGTGTTCACAATAATTACACGGGGGGAAATTTTTTAAAACCACCAACAATAAAGAAAAATTAAATTCACTCACTCTGCTGCGGTTTCAAATTTTTAATGTTTGTTTTTTCAAGCCCTCCCCCCAACCCTGTAAGTAACTAAAACATTATACATCTTGTCAACACTACACCTCAAATGCAGAACACCTATGAAGCAGAGGAATGTTGGCTTTTTAAACAGAAGCAGATAAAAAAAAAAGATGCAGGACTCCTTCAGTTCTTCACTAGTCTTAGAAAAACTTTCCAGAATACTGCTTCACACTGTTCTGAAGCAAATACTGTGCATTCTGTATCTGGTCCTGTGTTCCTGTGATGGTAATAATCCGATCTTCAGATCCTTCCAAAGGCTCATCAATTTTGATCGATGCTCCTGACTCATGACGGATTCGTTTAATCCACTGACCACCTTTGCCAATAATAGATCCAGCCAAATCTTTGGGAATAGTTACTTGTGTGGTAATAATAGGTCCGCCAAGATCACCACATGAGCCACGACCCCCTGCATAGGAATAATCATATCCAGAACCACCCTGTGGTTCATAAGCCATCTGCCATTCTGATGGACTCCATGTGTCAATTGCAGAGTCCCAAGTTTCATCAGCACTGAACCCAACCATGCCATCATAGCGGTCTCCAGGCCTTCCTCTTCTGTCGTAAGCCATTAGATCTCCCCCTCTGGGAGGTGGTGGTGGAGGAAGAGGAAGATTCCGAGCTCTGCTGCCACCCTGGCCACCACGACCAGGAGGTGGTGGTGGAGGTCCTCGACGAGGGCTCATATCATCATAATCTCTTCTAGAGGGAGGTACGGGACGCCCACCCCGACCAGGAGGCATTCTGTCAAAACCACCTCTTCCCCGCATGGGAAATCCCACAGGACGTCCACGGCGGTCATCAAACATCATTGTAAAACCACCATAATCATAGGTTTCATCATAAAAGTTGGGATCATAAGGCTGTGCACGTCCTTTGATGGGAGACTCAGATATAAGGTCAAGGATGATCTTGATGCACTCTACAACCCTATCAGGCTTTCCTCCAATAAGAACAACTCTGTCAGTAGAGTGAGGGCAGCATTCCTGGAAAAGCTTGATTGTTGTCTGAGTGTTTTCTCGAAGTTCTTTAATTTTAGCACCTTTGACACCAATAATTCCTCCTGCCAGACTTTGATGAATCAACAGTCTCAACTCGCAGTCAAAGTCACTTCCTTTATAGTGTTGGTAATTTAAGCATTCCACAGCATCAGATTCGAACGGGAGCTGGCTGGTTGCAGTGGGTGATGGCAACTGCAGGCCCTCTTCCAAGGTAGGGATGATTTTCTTCAGAATTTCTCCAATCGTTTCAATATCAGCACTGATACTCAGTATGCGCTCGGGGCCACTGCTGTCTGGGACTGAAACACTGGCATTGTAGTCTGTACGCAGAGCCTTAATGTTCTTGCCTCCTTTCCCAATCACCGCACCAGCATTCTTGCTCTGAAGCAAAATGCGCAGTTCAACCATCTCATCAGTATTTCTAGATCTTTTAAAGGCTTGCTCCTCTTCCATATCTTCTGCAGGGCGTTTACCAAATTCACCATTGGTTTCAGTGTTGGGGAAGGTTTCTTCTGGCTGCTCGGTCTCCATTTTCTTGAATTAAATGGATACACCAACGTGAGGGGCCGCAGGCGAGCGGGAGGCGAGTACGACGGCGACGTCCGTGCAGCGGAGGCACAGAGGATAATAAAACAATTCTTTTAAAATCAGGAACAAGACAAGGTTGTCCAATCTCCATAACTATTCAATATGGTACTCGAAGCTAAGCTGGAGCCAGGAAGATACTGGAGGAAATAAAGGGAATACACACTGGGACAGAAGAAGTTAAAGTATCGCTATTTGCAGATGATATGATAGTATACATGTGACCCACAAAATACTACCAGGAGACTTCTACAACTGATAAACACCTTTAGTGATGTGGCTGGATACAAGATTAACTAAAAAAATCAGCAGTCCTCTTATACACAAAAGATAAATGGACCAAGAAAGAAATTAGAGAAACAACATCCTTCATAATAGACTCAAATAATATAAAATATCTTGTTATGACTCTAACCAAGCAAGTGAAAGACCTATATGACAAGAACTTCAAATCTTTAAGAAAGAAATTAGAAAAGATATCAGAAGATGGAAAGATCTCCCATGCTCATGGGTCAGTAGATTAATATAATAAAAATGGCCATCTTACCAAAAGCAATCTACAGATTCAACATAGTTCTCATCAAAATTCTAACACAATTCTTTTTTAACTTTCTTTTTATTTATTCTTTGTGCCTTTCACTTCATGCATTTTTTATCCCATTCATTCCCATTTCTTTGTATACTCCTCTGCCCTTGGGATGCACCCTCCCAAAAATAAAATAAAATTTAAGAGAGAAAAAGAAAGAAAGAAAAAAGGAAAGAAACCTCATTATGGAAGCAATAGTGTGGCATAGTGAGTCACATAGCAAACCTTTTTGTCCATGTATCTTTGCTTGCAAGTGTTCATTGCAAAGAGTCATTGGTCTGTTTCAAGGCCCCTAGTGTCCTTTCTGCTACTCTATTAATGCTGGATCCCCACTGGGACTCCTCTTGGATATCCTGCTGCTGCCCTGTGTCGTGGAGGTCCTGCAGCTTTGGGTCTGTAGGATCAGCTCTTTCACATGCTCCAGCAGATCATAGATGGGGGTGGATGTTGGGGTGGACCTGGGTAGTTGCAGGGTTGGTTGGTCAGCCTGCCAGCTCTCCCCTGTCTTCACCACCCAGGTGAGCTCTCCAGCATTGTCTAGGCTACTCCACCTCTTGCAGGGATGAGCAAGAGGTGAGGCTAGTCCCGCTTTCACATCCTCTCCCACACCTACACCTTCAGGGTTAGTTCTACTGTGCTGCCCAGGTGAGGTGTAGGGGACACTCTCCCAAATGCTGCAGCTCATGAGGGGTAGGGACAGACCTCCCACTGTTATGACCTCAGGGCCAACCCTCCCACCTGCTCAAGCAGTAAGGGGCAGGGGGTAGGCATCTCTCCCCAAACCCACACCACCATATGGCAGATGAGAGGCAGGGTCAGTTCTCCCTTGCTCACGTTCCCAGGGTGATTCCCAGTTCATAGGGTCAGCTCTACTGTGCTGCCCAGGTCAGGTGCAGGCTCCACTTTCCAAAATGATGCAGCTGCTAAGAGGGAGGCCAGCTCCCTCTCCCACCACAGGTGGCAGGAGCAAGGGGAGAAGAGAATCTTTCCCTTGCCCTCACCACCACATGGCAGACAAGGGGGATGTGGCTAGCTAGCCCACTCTCACACCCTCGGGGCCAGTTCACCTGTGCCTCTGCCACTAGGATCAGCTCTACTGTGCTGCCCAGGTGAGGAGCACGACCCACTCTCCTGAGCGTTGCAGCTAGCAGGGGAGAGGGCCAGCTCCCTCATCTGTCACAGGCAGTAAGGGGCGAGGGGTAAGGAGGCATCCCTCCCCCACCCCCACCTGACAGACACAGCTTTCCTATACTGACAGCTTTGGGATTGGCTCACCCACACCTCCACCAGCAGGATTGGCTCTATTGTGCCGCCCAAGGAATGTGCAGGACCTGCTCTCCCAGCTGGGGTGGGGGGTACAGGGGCAGTTCTCTCTCATTGCTATGACGTCAGGTCCAGTTTTTCCACCTGCCTTAAGCATTGGGGGTGCATCTTTCCCCGACCCATGCCACCGTATGGCAGATGAGGGCTTGGGCCATATCTCCCATGCTCAAGGTCTCAAGGCCTTGGGGGCTGGCTCACCCATGACCCCCAACCCCACGACAGAGTCAGCTCCCCTGCTGTGCTGCCCAGATGAGTCATAGGGCCTGCTTTCAAGTGTGTTTGAGCTGGTAAAGGGGAAGATACGCTCCCTGGCCAGCTGGAGGTGGTAGGGGCAAGAGGGGGCATCTTGCCCTTTCCACTACAACCATCCTAAGACAAGGAGTTGATACAAGTTATCACTCTCATGCCCTCGGGGCTGGCTCACCTGTGGCCCTGTAACAGGGTCAATTCTACTGTGCTGCCCAGGCAAAGTGCAGGGCCCATACTCGCAAGTGTTGCAGCTGGTGAGGTATTGGATAAGGTACCCTGCCTGCTGCAAGTGTCGAGAGGTGAGGGAAGGAGGGCATCTTTCTCCCACCTATGCAACCATGTGGCAGACAAGAGAGGCATGGCCTGCTCTCCCATTCTCATGCCCTCAGGTCCAGCTCACCCATGCTCCTGCAAGCAGGGTCTTGCTCTATTGTGCTGCTCAGGTAAGTAAGGTGTAAGACCCTCTCTCCTGAGTGTCTTCAGCCAGTGAGGTGCAGGACCAGTTTTCCCGAATGTTGCAACAAGTGAGGGGCAGGACCAACTCTGTACAGCCCTATCCTCTCTGCCTTCGGTGGTAGCAGAAGCCTCAGATGAAACACAGACGGAGACTGCATCAGGGCCATGAATCTAGACATGGGACCCTGCAGCAGTCCATGTCAAAACATCACCATGGCCCCAGGTGGCCATGAAGCCACCCACCTCAGCCTGCTCCTCACATCTTTACCTCTTCTGACATGCCTCTGTCCATATGCCTAGAACCGTTCTCCCTCTCTCTCTCTCTCTCTCTCTCTCTCTCTCTCTCTCTCTCTCGCTCTCTGTGTGTGTGTGTGTGTGTCTGTCTGTCTGTCTCTGTCTCTGTTTCTCTGTCTCTCTGTCTCTCTCTCTTGCTCCCTTGCTCTCTCTGTCTCTGTCTCTCACTCTCTCTTTCTCAACACACCATACATTTGCTCACCATAGTAGTGCCTGTCCCCCAAGCAACACAGCCAGGGGGTGGGGTGGGGCTAGAGGGGAGATGTTTTCTCCTCAAATCTTGAGGCAAGCCTGCATGTAGGTTACTTGACCCTGCTCAGTCTATCATGGTGCTGGACAGAAACTTATTTCCACACGTCTCCCCAAACACAGTTCCTTACAGACCTTGAAAGAACAATACTCAACTTCATATGGAAAAGCAAAAAAAAAAAAAAAAAACCAGAATAGCTAAAACAATAAAAGATCTTTTGAAGGAATCATGATCCCTGATTTCAGGCTCTACTACAGAGATATAGTAATAAAACGGTGTGGTATTGGCATAAAAACAGACGGGGGGATCAATGGAATCTAATCTGATCAAAGGAATCAAAGACTCAGACATAAATCCACATACCTATTGACACTGAGTTTCGACAAAAAAGCCAAAATCATACAGTGGAAAAAGAAATCATTTTCAACAAATAGTGATGGTCTAACTGGATGTCAACATGTAGAAGAATAAAAATATATCCATATCTATCACCCTGCACATAACTCAAGTCCAAAAATGTGATACACTGAACCTGATAGAAGAGAAAGTGGGGAATAGCCTTGAAAGCATTGGCACAGGAGACAACTTCCAGAACAGAACAGCAATAGCACAGACACTAAAGTCAACAATTAATAAAAAGGACCTCATGAAACTGAAGAGTTTCTGAAAGTCAAAGGACAATGTCAATAAGAAAAATGGAAGCCTACAAAATGGGAGAAGATCTTCACCATCCCCACATCTGATAGAGGGCTAATGACCAAAATATATAAATAACTCAAGAAACTAGACATCATAAAAACCAAATAATTCAATTAAAAAATGGAATGCAAATCTAAACAGAATTCTTCAGAAAGAAATCTCAAGTGCCTGAGAAGCACTTAAAGAACTGTTCGACATCCTTAGCCATCAGGAAAATGCGAGGATGTGGAACAAAGGAAACACTCCTCCTTGCTGGTGGGAGTGCAAACTTGTACAGCCATGGTGGAAATCAATATGGTGGTTTCTCAGAAAAATGGTAATCAATCTACCTCAAGACCCAGCTATACCCTCCTGGGAACATAGGATGCTCTGTCATACTACACCAAAGGACACTCCATCATGCTTCAAGGACACTTGCTCAGCTATGTGCACAGCAGCTTTATTCATAGTAGCCAGAAACTGGAAACAACTTAGATGCCTCTCAATTGAAGAATGGATAAAGAAAATGTGGTATATTTGCATAATGGACCATTTATTACTCAGCTGTTAAAAACAATGACATTATGAAATTTGAAGGCAAATGGATGGAACTAAAAAGAAATCATCCTCAGTGTGTTAACCCGTACCCAGAAAGACAAACATGGTATGTACTCACTTATAAGTGGCTATTAACTGTAAAGTAAAGGACAACCATGCTATAATCCTCAGACACAGAAAAGGTAAGTAACATGATGGGCTCAAGATTTAATGCATGAATCTTCCTGAGAAGGGGAAATTGACATCATGGGTGGAGAAGGTGAAGGTGGGGAACAGGAGGGATGAAGTGGGGGAGGATTGAGGGAAAGAGTACAGGGAGAGGCAAATGGAATGGGGGGATATCTTGGGGACAACCTAGTGCAATGAAAACTTCCAGGATTCTACAAGGGTGAACCTAGCTAAGACTCCTAGTAATGGGGGATATGGAGCCTGAACTGCCTGTCTCCCATAACCAGGCAAGACTTCCAGCAGAGGGATTAGGATGCCAACTCAGCCACATAACCTTCAACCTACAATTTGTTTTCTTGTAAGATGTGCTGGAACAGAAATTGTGGGAGTGGCCAACTAATGATATGATTGGTAGAACTTGAGACCTATGCCCCAAGAGGAAGTTAACCC